CAGGAACGTTTCTGGCTCTTTCTGCCCTGTGTGTGTTTCAGACTCTGGGGCAGGTCGATTAGGTTTTCCCAACATTACCAAGCCCTTTAAGTGTGTTAAATGCCTAAAAAGGGAATAAGCGTGTGATCTCAACAGATGACATCGGCATTCTCTGGTGCCAGTGGGAACAAGTGGCTTAATAATGATTTTAAGTGACCTTTGCCCATGACCCAGCAATCTCCAGTAAAGACCTACCGTGCGGAGCATGAGGCCTTTTATCTATGTGCAGGTGAGGGCTTTGAGAAAAACAGGAGTCACTCCTGTGGGTTGATGCCAGGAAAGAAGGCTTCAGGAACAATCTCAGAACACAGTCGAGAGAGCAGGGGTTTTAGCTGAGTCAACAGAAGCAGATGTCGCCCTGGGAACATAAGCCCCAAGAATTCAGAAAAATCCTGGGGAAGGCTTTGGTCTTCCAAATTCAAATAAGTGTTTACATCAGTCTGATCTGGAGAATAGCGTCTGGGAGACCCGGCTGACAGCTGCCCTATACAGCATTTCCACTGAAATCAGCAAAGCACTGGAGAATATGGCCCTAGAGCATAGCTCTAGGAAGTAAAGTCCGCGGGGAGCAGTTCAGCCTCAGAGTGTGATATTTCCAAGCCTGCGTGTAGCAGAGACTACTGATTGTCCCCCAGTGTTTATTCTCCCCTTCTTTTAGGGCAATCAAACTAATTTTCACAGGGCAAGCAATGTGTTTAGATGAAATACTGTATTTACAGGCTTTCTTGTAATGAGGTATGGCCTTGTGACCAAATTTACATCAATGAAACGTAAGAAATGTGTGGTATGGGACCACCAGGAAAGCTGCTTAAAGTGACCTAACTCAGGAGGAAGGAGTTCTGCCCTTCCATCCTCCCAATCCTCACCTCTTTGTTGTCTCTTTCTACTGGCCTGGAACTTAGGTATACTAATTGGAGCTCCAGCAGCCATTTTGCACCATGAGGTAACCCCAAGACTGAAAACCACATACTGAGGATGGCCGAGCAGAGGTATCTTTAATGATACTGTGGAGCTGCCATACTAACTCCAGCCTTCCTGACCCCAGATTGCTTTTATGTAAGGGAGAAATACCAGTCTCCTTGATGTTCTTTAGAAATGATAAGCATATTCCATCCTCAGGGCTTTGCACTGGCTGATTCCTATGCCTGGAGGACTCTGTCCCCAGGTATCCATCTGGCCTGCTCCCCTCACTCCTTCAGCTCTCTAGCAGAAAGGTACTACAGGATTAAGGCTTTCTGTGACCACATTTACAATAGCATCCACATTCCCCAGTCATCCATAAAACTTATTACCATCTGTCATACCACATGTTGTTTCCTTATCTGTTTATTGTCTATCTCTTTCCACTCGAATATAAGCTTCAAATGGGCTATTCTGTTTACTGCTGTGCCTCTCATCCTTAGAACAATGCTTAACACATGGAAGGTGCTCAATAAAGATTTGTTGAGTGAATGAATGAATGAATGGTACGATCTGATGGATGGGCTCTGCATCCTCAACTATCCTCCTAGGCCCCAGTATAAGGTTCATCAGGCCCAGGAAAGGTTGCAGGGCACCCTCCCTTGCTGTAGTCACCAAGGAACTAGGGTAGAACCAGGGCTGCCTGTGTGCAATGGGTTGAGGCAGAAGAGATGGGACAGAGCTCACTCTCCTGGCTCTAGTGGGCTTTCAAGAGGTGAAAAGCTAGGTCCTTTTCTGCTATCATCACAGTTCAGGTGTGCACCCATGACTTGGAGGCTCTTCCCAAGGCTTACAGTGTGCAGACACAGCCACAGGGCCCATGAACCAAGCCTACAACCCATATGTGCTCATCCGTTAGCCCCAAGAAATACTGGACATGTAGGGTGCTGTGATGGGCAATTTCATGTACTAATTTGGCTAGAATACCCAAATATTCTACATATTTCTAAGAAAGTATTTTTTAGGTGAAATAAACTTAAATCAGTGGAGTAAAGCACATGACCCCCCACAGTGTGGCTGGGCCTCATTTAATCAGTTTAAGGCCTTCACAATGATTCACTTCCCAGAGGAAGAGAAAATTTTGACAGCAGACTGCTTCAGATTCAAATTGCAGCTCTTCCTTGGGTCTTCAGTCAGTAACCCACCCAGCAGGTTTTGGACTTGCCATCCTCTGAATCCCATAAGCCAATTTGCTAAAAATCAATCAATCAATCAATCAATCGACCTCTTTCTCCTTGGTTCTATTTCTCTGGAGAACCCTGACTACTACAGGTGCCAGTCTCTTTTCATATTCCATGGAATACCAGGAGGCCTGGGATGTCTAATAAGAAAACCCCACAAAGACCCGTGACCTCATGAATAACAGTGAGAAAACATATTAATGAATGTCTGGCAGGAAGGCTTTACACAGCTTGACCCACTGGGTCAAATCACGATCATAAGTGGACACAGCTGCACCTGAGGCAGTGCAGGCCTCAGAGCACAAGGGCTTTATTTGTCACTGAATGAAGGACCAGGCCTACAGCCCAAGGGAGGACCCCCATCACAGGGTTGAAAGGGGTGCTTGAGCCCTTTGTTTCTGGAACAGCAGAGAAAATCTCATGATGGCAAGAGAGCAGGCAGCACTTTTCCAGCACACTGGCCAAAGCCGATGCGGTAACCATCCCCCTGGCAGTACCCTGGAACAGAGGAGGACAAAGGTCAGTCACAAAGTTGCTGGGCTCACCAGAACCAACACCTAGGCAGCGGCAGTGCCCGTCAGCACACAGCTGGCCCAAGGTAGGAAGGTGCCATCAGAATCACACACATATCTTAAACACAAGAATAACCCTCCACAGAAGCTGGGCAGAGTTGCACGCAGGAGCACTTGGACTAGAACCTGGGCCCACCTCACAGCCAGGGATCCTCAGAGGAACTGCAAGGCTCAATAGCTTTCCTGTGGCTGATATGGTTTGGCTGTGTCCCCCAACAAACCTCATCTTGAGTTATAGCTCCCATAATTCCCATGTGTTGTGGGAGGGACACGATGGGAGATAATTGAATCATGGGGTGGTTTCCCTCATACTGCTCTCATGGTAGTGAATAAGTCTCATGAGATCTGATGGTTTTATAAGGGGAAACTCCTTTCACTTGGCTCTCATTCTCTCTTGCCTGCCACCATGTAAGACGTGCCTTTTGCCTTCCACCATGATTGTGAGGCCTCCCCAGCCATGTGGAACTGTGAGTCCATTAAACCTCTCCTTCTTCATAAATTACCCAGCCTCGGGTATGTCTTTATCAGCAGTGTGAAAACAGACTAAAACAGCGGTCAACTCTCCCCACACGGGTTTGGGTTCAAATCCTCGCTCTGCCAATTAGCCTGAAACCAGAATACCTGAGTTCAAAGCCTAGTTCCTCCACTTACTGGCTCTGTGACCTTGGGTCCCTCTAGACCTCAGTTTCTTCATCTGTGCAATGGATCTAATGATAGTGCCCACCACACACGACTGCTGCAAGGATGATGGGAGCAAATGCATAGAAAACTCTGAGAACAGTCTCAGTCCCCATGTGAAATACCCTGTAAGCATCAGTCATTATAACCTTTATGAGCTGGGTGGCTGGGAACAAGCTGTTTAACTTCAGAACTCACCTCCCTCATCTACAAACAAGAAAAACAATGCTTATCTCTCAAGGTTGTAAGAATTAGACTAAATATTTCAGTGAAATTCCCAGTACATCTCAGAAACTAATAAATACTAGTTTCATTCATTTAATTCCATTTCAATAAGGCTGATGGAAAAGCAGAGAGAAGTCCATCTCTGCCCTTGAGAGGGGTCCACTTAGAGGGAGTGGGAGGTCTGGATGAGAGATACAGAGAAATGTCTACAAGGTGCTGAGTGAGCAGCATGGAGGGAAAGGGAGCAGGGAGCGGGGACATCTGAGCCAGGCCTTGACAGGTAGCTAGGAGTTCATTAGGGAAGACACATGAAAATGCCACTCCAGACAGAGGGAAAAACATGTGCAAAGGCTCAGAGACTCAAGCATTTGTCACATCTGTTCAGTGAGGCTGTCCTTTGGGGGACCCTAAGAAGCCAGGTTACCAAGGGCTCTGAGAAGCCATGGTAAGGTGTTTGAACCTCATTCTAAGGGCAATGAGGTGACACAGAGGAGTGTTCAGCAACTTTCACTTATCAGAATCAAGTCAATACAGAGGCCTTCAGGCACCTGGGTTGAATTGCTTCTCAAAGGCCCCGAGCCACATGAAAGCCAGAAGAGGCAGTGACAGGGCACCACTGAGATGACACCAGGCCCAGGATGGAGGCAAAGCCACTTCTGGGGATGCTAATGACCTTGAGTTACAGAAAAATACTATTAGATCCCCTCACCTGCTGGAGGCAAGCTCCAAACATGGAGCTGTGCTTTCTGCTACCCAATGTGAAGAGAAGAAATGATGCATTACAAGATCCCAGAAGCCAAGAGAAAGAAATCCGAGCACAATGCTGAGAAGACTCATGGCCGTCTGACACCGAGACCAAGGGTGGATCCGCACGACGGGGTCAACGACATTTTCAACAAGCCCTCCCAGCCCGAAAGGGTACAGCTTCTCTGAGGTGGTCCTCATGGCCACCCCTGCCCAGCAGCAGCTCAACCCAGCATGTTTCCTCGGCCCTCTCCCTTCCACTGCCTGGTCATCTGAACGGGCCTTCCAGCTCGGGCCACTCTGACCACTCTCCTTCTCTGGAAAGGCAGCAGCTTGAACACCACAGTGGCATTCCCAGAATTTTTGGTCCTGGAGCCCCTTACCCTCCCTGGCGCCAGCACAGTCGAGCCAGCCTCCCTGGCTGGGCGCACCCCATGACCCACATGCTGACAACGTGCAGGGATGCCCTTTGTCGAGAACTATGCCCTCGCCTCTTCTGTTGCTCAGTTTCATTATTTTCTGTCAGTCACTTTTCCATCTCAATGCTCAGAAATATCCACACCACTGGAGGAAAAAAAAAAAAAAGCCTATTAAAGTAAAACTGGCTCCCAGCAGAAATGTATTAAACAACTATCAAAACAACTAACTCGGAACTGCAGCATTTTTAAAGAGCCTTCTCCCAAACATGGTCCTGAAAGAGAACGGTCACCACTTCTACACCCTGGGACCCCTGGCCACCCTTGCCCAGGAATTCTGTGCCAGGCAAGGGAAGCAATAAAGCTAGAGAGAGAAACTGGAATAAGCAGAGACACAGGAAGACCAGGTGGCAGATGCCACCACTGAGAGACACAGGGAAAGAAACGAAAGACTTTTGCTCAGATATTGTTTCCAAATAATGTCAGATACCAAGAAAGAATCCACAACAAACCACAACTATCAACACATCTAAGATCCGAAGGAAAGTGGGAAATGCATGTGTCCAGCAGTGCAGAGCCATCTGTGCAAATGCCTGTGAGAACACATTCTTGCAAGTTGCAAGCTGAACACTAGATGGGGCTTGTGAGCAACACCAGGGGATGGATGAGTTACACCAAGACCATCAGAGATTTTTGTTAATTGTTGGTTTGTTTACTTCACCTGTTCTCTTGCTGAACATTTTGTGGATTTTGGACTCTCAGAAATGAGAATCTCATTGCACCACTTAAAGAGGCAAGAGGACACAAGGGTTCAGAGCACAACTCCTGGAGCCCAGCTGCCTGTGTTCAAACCCTGGCTCCACCCTGTATCGCCTGTGTGATCCTGGGTAAGTATGCATCTTTCTGGGTCTCAGTTTCCACATCTGAAAAATAGAGACAATAAAAGTAGCTGCCTTGTTAGGAATAGAAAATGTACTGCAGGTAAAGCACTTGGCACAGTGTCTGGCCTGCAGTAAGTGCTGTGGCATTGGCTGATGCCAGCACTTCTGAATGTTCTATCACATTTCCAATGGTTAGAAATTGATCTGGGGAAGAAGCATCCGTGAAGAGCAAGCAGGGAAATGAGAGGCAGCCATAAAGGCATCTGAGCAGGTACAGAGAAGGAGGAGGAAAGCCAGGAAGAGCTGAAGAAACCATGTGTGACTTTCAAGCAAGAAAGCAGCTCAGCAGGGCCACGTGACCAGTGAAGTCGTAGAAGGTGACGGCAGAGCTGTCCGCCGACACGGGGCACCTTTGCACAAGGTAACACAGCTGACGCACCACCTCCACCTGCCTGCTCCTCTGCTTACCCCCTCTTTTCCCCCATAAACACACAGCCCAAATTTTAGCAATATGCACTCATTTGAGTTTTTCAGTGGTCCCCTTCTGTATGAAATTCTCTTTTTTATTTTTATTAATATATAATGTATGCCTCTCATCTTAGCAAATTATAATTCTTCTTTCTTGGTTCCAGGGGATTTTGCGCATCTGTTCCCATTTCCCTCTTCACTTGCCAACACATGCTTCTTCAGATCCAAGGAACTGCCTTTCCCTGAATTCCTCTGCTGGCCTCCAAAAATCCTTCTGGAGCAAGGCATTGTATACACAAACAAACATGGAAATGACTCTCATGGCATCTTGGCTCCTTTCTCAATCCTTCCCTGGCTCAAATGTCAAGAACACATGTGCATTCCAACTGCTAAATACCAGCCTCCTTTCTTCCAGGCCCTGGACAGCTGCCTGGTCTAGCATGGCTTAGTCAGGGGCCCTTATCACACTGACAACAGAGAGCTAAAGCCACCATTTTCTCTTCTGCCAACATCTCTTTCCTTCCTTTCCCCAAATTAAAACTTCAGAAAGTGCTTTCACTCAATCCACAGAACCGTGACCAAAGGCCTGCGGTAGGTTTGGCAAGCATTGCAGAAAGACTAGAAACAAACCCAGCAGGGGAATCAGAAGACCTCGGTTGCAGCCTGGCTTCCCCAGTTGTGGGACTTTTGTCAAGTAACCGGCCTTCTATCAGCCTAAGTTTTCTACTCTGCAAAATGGAGGCAATGATATATTACCAAATGGCTATTGTGAGTAAAAAATGAAATAAGGAAGGTGGACATGCCTACAATATGGTTGGCTACTAGCAGATGTTCAGTAAATATTGTCAAATGCAAATTAGAGAGGTTTAATTAGGCTGCAGAAATGTGAGCAAAACGGGTATTTATTGACTAATAATGGGTATCATCTGCTGTTTTGAACTCGGCCTGCATCTTCTCTACCAAATCCACTTTATTCAAAGAACTAACCAACAGCCACACTGAGCATGCACTACGTGGTTGCTACTTGGACTAAACTTCGCTCTCCAAGAGCTCTGGAGTGGACTAAATTATGGCCCCCAAAGACATACGGCCGAATCCCTAGGACCTGTGAATGTTACCTTATATAGTAAATTTTTTGGAGATGTGATTAAGTTAGGATCTTAGAATGAGGAGATTGTCTAGGTGGGCCCTAAATACTATCACATGTGTGTTATAAGAGAGAGGTAAAGGAGATGAGACAGAAGAGGAGGCGACAATGTGACTGTGGAGGCAGAGATCAGCGCGATGTGGCCACAAGCCAAAGAGGCTTCCACCAGACGCTGGAAGAGGCCAGGGACAGACGCTCCCCAGAGTTTCCAGGAACGTGGCACTGCCAACACGAGGATTTTGAACTTGTACCTTATAGAACTGTGAGAGAATACATTTCATCTGTTTTAAGCCACAAAGTTTGCGGTACTATGTTACTGAGGCCACAGGAAACTAACACAAGCTTTTAGTTAAGCACAGAAACTGACATGAACATCATTAACCAGAATTCTGTATTTTCCATGAATTGCTAGCAGAGAGGACAGAGATATTGATTCTACCTGAGCAACCAGAGAAGGTAACATTTGGGCTGAGCCCGTGTATATCCAAGGGTTTGCAGGTAATGAGAAAAGCAACTCTCTTATCACAGAGGGTTACGTATTAGAACAAGACTGTAAGACTAAGCAGGTAGAGCAGAATCAGAGGGGAAGATACTGATTTGTTGAAACAGCAGCTTTGAGAAGACCTTGAGCGGAAGAGTAATGGGAAAAGCAAACATGAAGGTTCATTTTTCAGGCACCATGAGCAGGATGGATTGCAAGGGCCTGGTGCAAAAGCTCGTCTAGGATTTCAGGCCTGGAAGGGTGATGGTGTGGAGTGGGTCCGCGGCACAGAGATGGCAGGACATTTTCCAAGGATGCCCAACAGACTGTGCTGATGAAACGGGGGCAAGGTTCCAGCCCATAGATTGTCAGCGGTACAAAGACAGTCAAGGAAGGAGGGGCGAGGGTGACAATTAGGCATCCCAAGGGAAATGTGTGGTCAGCAGGTGGAGAGCAGGACATGGAGTGTTAGTGCAGAGGTCGGGCACCACCTCGCCCCAGGGTGGCTGTTCTACTGGGCAAGCAGGTGCCACTGCTTGTCACTTCATGCAGGGATCCCATTAAGAAGAGGTCAAGAGGCAAAGCCTTCTAAAAACTGGGTTCTGAAAAAAAGCAGCAATGACAATAAAGAAAACTATGAAAAGACGACCATCATCGCCATTTTTAAGCACTCACAAAGTAACGTGTCCTCTGATAGGTGCTTTAGACACTATCAAAGGTGTTAAACACCTAGGTTCTGAAGATAAGCTGCCTGGAAAGGAAACCAGATTTCATTATTTACTGGCTGCAGATCTGGGGCAACTCATTTAACCCCACTACGCCTTCACTTTCTCATCTGTAAAATGGCGCTGTCACGACACTGGAATATAAACCCAGAAGAGCAGAGACTTCATTTGTCTTTTTACCACCAGAACCCCAAGATGGGACTCAGAGTAGGTGCTCAATAAATGTCTACAAAGGGAATAAACGAGTTCATTTAATCTTCACAACTATGCTGTCAGGTTACGTATTGTATTCACTCCATTTTAAAGATGAAGAAGGCTGGGCACGGTGGCTCACGCCTGTAATCCCAGCGCTTTGGGACGCCAAGCCGGGCAGATCACAAGGTCAGGAGTTTGAAACCAGCCTGGCCAACATGGTGAAACCCCGTATCTACTAAAAACACAAATATTAGCCAGGTGCATTAGGAGAGCTTTTAGTTAATCATGGAAACTGACACGTACACAATTAGCACACCTGTAATCCCATCTACTCAGGAGGCTAAGGCAGGAGAATCGCTTGAACCTGGGAGACGGAGGTTGCAGTGAGCCGAGACTGTGCCACCACACTCCAGATTAGATGACAGAGCAAGACTCTGACTCAAAAAAAAAAAAAAAAAAAATTAAAGATGAGGAAAAACTGAGTCTCAGAAAGGTTAAATAACTTAATGAAGGTCGCACAGCTGGTGGGGGACCTGGGAGTCCAACCTGAATCTTTCCAGCTCTAAAGAGTGTGCTGCTAACCACTATGGTGCCCTTCCCCTCTATTAGTAAAATGTGGTAGGCAGAATGGCCCCCCAGAAGAATTAAGAGGCACCCTTGCGTCCTCGCAACAGGCTGCTGGGAAGCCTCAGCCACTAACTCAGCTGAACCTTCCTTGATCCTAGTCATAGCTCACCAAGTTTCTGCACAGGAGGTTTGCCGCAAAGTCTAGACCCTGAGGAACCTGCCAGGATTTTATAATTTTGCTCAGGGAGAAGGGAGACCAAGCAGAATGTCTACAGTCTTTCTGACCTGGGGAGACTCACGCTTGAAGTCCTGGGTAGCCATAGCTGTGGGGAAGGACAGAACAAGCAGGCAGAGACTCTGGGAGGCAGAGTCAGGATGCATTAGAACAGATGGCTTCATGGCCAGGTGGAAGCGTCCCGCAGCTAGAACAGTGCACGGCGGGCAAGGAGAAAGAAGAGCTGCTGGGTTTGGCAGCCCTCACCTGTTATGATGACTTCATCCCCGTCCAGCAGAAACTTCCTGGTCTGACCATTCCCCAGGCTGATGGGCTTCGTTCCCTTCCACGACAGTTCCAGCATGGAGCCGAAGCTTTCTGGCTCCTTATTCACAGGAAAGGAAAGAAAGAATACCATGAATTTATGCCTTGGCTCTGGCATGGACCATGCTCAGCAAGACCTGGGAGTCCCGAGAAGCAGCAGGGGCCCTCATGCCTCTCAGAAACACTGTCTCGGCCTTGGTGAGATCACTGCAGAGATGCCTTTGAGACTTGGAACTCTGCCCCTTCTTCCTGTGGGGACAGCAATGGTTCCACTAAGGACATCGCTTATTTAGGAATCAGTGAATCCCTGACCAGAGTGCCCAGTGCCCCCTGCAGCATCCCCTCCCCACTCTGGAGGCTGCAGTTTGCCCAGATACTGTGATGCTTAACACCCTCCTGTCGACAGCTCATGGAACAAGAGGGCTCGGCGAGGCCCCTGCACGCAGTGACTGACGCATGCACCACCCCAAGGTCATCGTCTCCGAAGGTTCTGTGACTCCCGCAGGCTTACAGGGGGACAAGTGGGCAGGAAGGGGCACAGCAACATGGCCACATCATCCTGGGAGGGTACAGTGTGAGATGGTGACAACAAGACACTATCACTGTCTCCTGACTCCTCCCCACGTGTCACTGTGCTGCTCCCCTACAGAGGCAGAGACCCAGGCCTCCGTTCTCACACCAGTCTCCTTAGGTTTGCATTTGGATGAGAAGTCCCTACTGCACCCAGAGAGAAAGGCTATGAGGAAGACAGAGTTGTGAGATACACCCACCTTGGGCCTGAAATTCCTTCTTGAGGGTGAGCTGAGGGCCCTCGGGGCTGTGTGGGGAGTAGGGATGCTCTGTGTGGGCAGCCCTCAATGCAGTCAAATACTCACCGGCCCACTGATGGTCCCAGTAGCCAAGAGGTCCCCCGGCCGCAGGTTGCAGCCATTGACAGAGTGGTGAGTAAGCTGCTGCAGCATCGTCCAGTACATATACTGTGGGCAACGGACGCAAGGTGGAATGAGCAGCTGCAGGCTCAGCCTAGCATCCCAGAGGCAACTGAGCACAGCCTGCCCTGCTCACGACCACCTTCCCTGGCCTTTCCCCAGTCCCGAGCTCCCCCAGCCAGCTCTCTCCAGGCCCTTATAGCAAGGACACACTGTCCTCCTAGGGAGCTGCCCAGAGACTTCCCTCAAGCTCTTTCATCTCCTTCACAAGCTCCGACCTCAGCTCCTCTGCTACCTCAAGCCCACACTGACCACCTTCTCCAAGCAGCATCCCCTAGGGGCTGACCTTGCTGCTCAGTCCCTCAGCCTGCAACATGCCCATGTGTACAACACTCCACTCTGCCCTGGGAACACCCTCCAGTCCTGCATTGGGAGAGTCTAAGTCCTCACCACAGCAGAGGCTTCTTGTGAACAAAGCCCTTGCTCCCATTCTCCCATGCCGGGCCTTGGGATGGACACTGAGCAATGGAGCTGAATGATTCAAACACGATGTCAGGGCAGGCCAAGAAGTGATGGAGAGCTATGGGAGGTCAGGCTGTGGGCAGAGGGGTCCAAGGTACCACGTGCCCACCGAGACACTCAGAGGCAATGCACGCCCACGCCTGTCCCACACCACAGCTTCTCACATCGCCACTCCTATAGTCATACATCCCGGCATAGGAAACCCAAAAGATGGATTCTTGCCCACAAGCCCCCACAAGGAGGCCCCTTAACTTCTTCTTACTAGCCTAAGGAGCTCAGAATAATATTAAATTAGAAGGGAAATTAGGGGAACTAGGAATGGTTCAATGATTCAGAGGACATTCAAAAGGCCAAGAAACAAATGAACCATAAACACATGACTAACATGCCCAGCTGCATTAGTCATTAGGAAAATGCAAACTGCAGTCACAATCCCCGGCACAGTTTGAATGAAAAGGCAAACACCACTAGGGCTGACGAGGATGTGGAGCAGGCAAAATGCTTACATGCTGCTAGTGGGAGTATATACTGGTATAACCACTTCAGAAAACTGTTTGGAAGTACTCCTAGGCTGAATCTACGTGTACTCTATGACCCAGCAAGCTTATTATTGGATATACACTCAACAGAAATGTGCACATATGTGCACCAAAAGGTGTGTACTAAAATGTTCACAGTAACTCTACGATAGCCAAAAACAATGGAAACAACCAAATGTCCATCAATTGTGGAACTGATGTGACTTAAAAAAATAAATCAAGTGTGGAATATATATATCGTGCAACACTAGAAGGCAATGAGAAAAATGAGCTATCACTGCAAAGAGCAACAGGGTCGAATCTCACAAATATAACACTAAAACAAAGAAGCCAGCTAGAAAAGAATACATGCTATCCTATGATTCCATTTCCATAAAACTGAAAAACAGAAAAAAAAATATGGTAACAGAGGTCAGGAGAGGAGTGACCTTTGCTGGAGGGAGTGATTAAGTGACCTGGTGGGGCCCAGGGGTCTGCTGAGATGCTGGAAATGTCCCATTTCTGATCTGGGTGCTGGTTGCACAGGGATGTTCATTTTAGGAAAACTCTTCTAGCTATACATGTATAATATGCACTTTTTAAAATTTTTATTTTTTGAAATAGGGTCTTGCTCTATCACACATGCTGGAGTGCAGTGGCGTGATCATGGTTCACTGCAGCCTCAACCTCCTGGGCTCAAGTGATCCTTCTGCCTCAGCCTCCCAAGTAGCTGGGACCACAGGTGCATGCTACCATGCCCGGCTAATTTTTTTACTTTTTACAGAGACAAGGTCTCATTATGTTGCCCAGGCTGGTCTCAAACACCTAGGCTTAAGTGATCCTCCCACCTCGGCCTCCCAAAGTGCTGGGATTACAGTAATGTGTGCATTTTTATCTATGTGTATTATGCTTCAATTACAAGTTCACTTAAAAAATAAGTCACTCTCACCAATACAGCCCCTGGCAGGACAGGATAAACCAGGAACGAGACCTTTACAGGAACACCTATTGTCCCCCAAGAAAATCCCTGGCCACATTTATGCAGCCTCTGTGTTGAGAGAACTCTGTGACCCCATGGCCACTCCTAAAAGAGACAGGCCATGGAAGCTCCAGGCCCACAGGCTGAGCCATCATCATATCCCAAAAGCAATGCCCTCCTCCTGCTCCTGCCAAGAAGAAGAGTCTCTCTTTCCCCCAATCTAAGAAGCAGTCTGATCAGCGCCAAAACTTACCTTAGAATTGGACTTGCATATGGTAGCCGCCTGGCTCATTCCTTCTCCTGTTGGAAAGAAAAGCAATATTGATGAAAACTTAATTCCATGCTTCAGGGAGGCAAATAAAAAAAGAATTGTTCTGTGGCTGAAGCTTCCCATCGTCCAACATGATTTCACTTAAAGTCTGTGAAACTATTAGCTCCTAGGACATCAGAGCTGGGATGTCCAGGGTTGGCCAATACATGCGCACGAGTCACCACTTCCTCCTCCCACGCCTACAGCAGGCGGCATTAACTGATCACAGCGCATGTTTGCTCTGAGTCCACATGCAGCCTCAGAAATCCTTCTTAACACAGTGAACCTGGCACCCACAAATCCACTGGAGATAGTGTGCCATTTGAAGGCTACTTGTGACCTTTGACCAAGGATAACCTGCTGTCCCCTCAGGAGTCCTCTGGATAGCTGGGTCATCTGTCCCCTGCCAAGCTCCTCCAGTGATGGGCAATGTGCTACTTTACAATGGACTAAACAATATTTACTAAACATCTACTACATGCAAGTTACCGGACTGTTGTTGTTCCACTTCTGAACAACACTAATAAGTAGAAAGCTCCTCTGCTCCCTCAAAACCTGGCTTCAGGCCGGGCGCGGTGGCTCAAGCCTGTAATCCCAGCACTTTGGGAGGCCGAGACGGGCGGATCACGAGGTCAGGAGATCGAGACCATCCTGGCTAACACGGTGAAACCCCGTCTCTACTAAAAAATACAAAAAACTAGCCGGGCGCGGTGGCGGGCGCCTGTAGTCCCAACTACCTGGGAGGCTGAGGCAGGAGAATGGCGTGAACCCGGGAGGCGGAGCTTGCAGTGAGCTGAGATCCGGCCACTGCACTCCAGCCTGGGCGGCAGAGCGAGACTCCGTCTCAAAAAAAAAAAAAAAAACCTGGCTTCCTCCCTTGGTCCTAACTTCCCCTCTGAGGTGGCACAGAACAGATGTGCTCTTCAGCCATGCGAGTTCTGGGTCCCCCAAGCCTGCTCCTCCCCAGACCCTTTCACCTAGATCCCAACTCAGAACATCAGAACTGCAAATGTAAGACTACGTCTCTGGACACCATGCTTTCTGGATAATTTTGTCCCTTCTCCACCAGTGGCCTCCCCTGGGTGAGTTCACCTCTAGGCAGGCAGGAAGAAATATCTAGGATGAAACCAGATAGAAAATACACTCCAAGCATGCATAGTGAGTGGCAGGAGGCCAACCTAGAACTGGTGACGCTTGGATTGAGTCCCAGCCCTGCCATTAGCCAGGTAGGTGGCTCGGGGTGAATCCTTCTCCTCTCTGAGCCTCAGCTACCTGACCTGGAACCTGAAAGAGCAGGTCCAGCACAGCTTCCCAGGGGGCCCTGAGCAGCCAGGAGGGTCTCTGTGGCAGCCTTTTCTCCGTGGAGCATCCTGCTCCCATGGCAACAGCTCCTCACTCCTGCAGGGTACTGAGCCTCCTGACAGGAACCACCTCATGAAGGGCCGAGACCCTGGAACTGGCAGTGAGACAGACACGGCAAAGGCTGGTGTGTGCAGACACAGCAGATGGAAGAATGGAATGGAGCTGGCTGGGCGCGGTTGCTCACACCTGTAATCCCAGCACTTTGGGAGGCTGAGGCAGGTGGATCAACTAAAGTCAGGAGTTCGAGAACATCCTGACCAACTTGAAGAAACCCCGTCTCTACTAAAAATACAAAATTAGCCAGGCATGGTGGCACATGCCTGTAATCCCAGCTACACAAGAGACTGAGACAGAAGAATTGCTTGGACCCAGGGGCGGGGGTTGTGGTGAGCCGAGATCGTGCCATTGCACTCCAGCCTGGGTAACAAAAGTGAAGCTCTGTCTCAGGAAAAAAAAAAGGGAAAAAAAAAAAAAAGAGAAAGGAATGTAGCTAAAAAGGAGATGTGGTCAGAGTGTGGCTAGGAGGTCTGTGTGTGGCCACCAGGCAAACCCTCTCCACCTGAGGGCCTCTATTAGGACTGGAAAATGACACCTGACTCTTCCTAGGTACAGACCCTGTCCCAGACCTTTGCATGAATTGACATGTTTGGTCCTCACAACACACCATGAGGTCAACGCCATTATTATCCCATTTCATAGATGACAAATGAGGACATGGCCAGGTTGGGCAACTTGCCCAAAGTCCCGCAGTTGAGGAGCAGAGTCATGGCCTGCAGAGCCAGTCTCTTTATTACCAACTCTCTGCGGGTCTGTTCACGGAGCTGGGCTGAGCAGCCACAGGGAGATGTGGGCCCTGTCTATCTCAGGGCTGGCCCAGTGTGGGGATCTCAGGCCTGTCTGCAAGACACTCAGGGCTGGCCCAGGGTGGGAATCTGGGGCCTTGATGCGCTGGCTCTGTGTGGCCCCAAGGGCTCAGCCAAGCCTCCTGCCAGCAGACCCACAAGGACATGCTTTCAAACAGGCACTCAATGAAATGTGCCACCCACCACAGAAGTGAGGGTCAGTAGCGATATGTGAGCGGGGGCCAGGCAGCCCCTGGAGAGGCTGGAGACGGGATTCAAGTGGAAGACAGAGGTGCCGGACTCCATCCTTTCAGCCCTATCACTGAGAGCTCAGTGATAGGGTTAATGCCCTGTGGGCCCAGTTAGGTTCCCAGTGAGCACCAGAGCGTCTCCTCCCCTCCTATTTTATTTTATGTTATTTTATTCTATTCTATTCTATTCTATTCTATTTTTTTGAGACAGAGTCTCGCTCTGTCGCCCAGGCTGGAGTGCAGTGGCGCCATCTCGGCTCACTGTAAGCTCCGCCTCCTGGGTTCAAGCCATTCTCCTGCCTCAGCCTCCCGAGTAGCTGGGACTACAGGCGCCCACCACTACACCAGGCTAATTTTTTGTATTTTTAGTAGATGGGGTTTCACCGTGTTAGCCAAGATGGTCTCGATCTCCTGACCTCATGATCCACCCGCCTCAGCCTCCCAAAGTGCTGGGATTACAGGCGTGAGCCACCGTGCCCGGCCCTCTTTCCTTTAGAAGAGCCACACGTCTCCAGGGCTGTAGCATGTGCCCCCACCCTTGCCAAAGCTCAGGAGCCTTCAGGACAAGGCACACAGGCACACATTCCCTCAGAGCTCCTGGCCATGTCTATCCCCCCACGACATACCTTTCAGGGCAACAGACAGGTTGATGTCAAATGTGTAGGGCTGATCATGGCAGAGATACGGCAGAGGCCTGGGGTCCTGGGAGGACAAAGCACAGCACAGAGGTCACTGGCAGGTGGGCTGAGCTCATCCGGCTGGGCCCCCAGACCAGTCAGGCCCCCGGCAGCACCTGTTCCCCCAGGCAGAGGGTCTGAGACAGCAGGAGCATTCCCTCTCCAGGATCCCAGCACTGTGTCCCTGGATAGCAGTGGGGGGATCATACTGTGGGGCTCCAGGAAAAGCAGCCAAGGAAGGGGCATCAGCAGGTCAAAGGTCACAGAAGCCAAACCAGAGATATTCCTGTAAGCCACAGGAGGGGAGAGAAAGGGAAGGTGGGCAGCAGACAAGTCAAGATGGGGAACAAAGCATGGCCTGTGAGGAAAGGCTGGGGCCTGAAAGGGCATTGCAGGGCCCCTGGAAGGCAGAGGGGTCACAAAAGAAGCAGACAGCCCTGGCTGGTGTTGGAGCCAGCGAGGGAGGCAGCTTGGGTGGCTGGGCCAGAACATCTGCACTTCGGCCAAAAACAGTGTTTTCCAAAGCATGGTACGTCAGTCACCCATGGGACATGAGATCCTTTTTTGGTGATTCTAATAGTTATGAAACACTGTAGCTAGTGATGCCAGTAGGAATATAAAGTTCCCTTCTTAATATATTAAGTTTTAAACTGGGAGCCACTCTGAAGAAAAACATTAAGTAAATAATGGTTCAGAAGGGGTAACAGTAGTGATGATTGTACATAAATGGTGTTCAGGAAGGGCTGGCACAGAGGAGTGTGGGCAAAGCCTTGTGATGACAGACCTGGAAGAAGGCAGATGACTGGAGGACAAGCAGAGAGAGGCTGTGGCCTTCCGGCCCTAGGGAGACTAGACAGGGTCGCTGTCGGCTAGAGAGAAAGCCACGTTCTGGACACTGAAAATGAGCAGGCGTGGGCAGGGAGCAGCGAGGAGAGAGCAAGGGGCGAGTGTGAAAGCCCCACAGTACTTCACTAGAACTGGCTTGCAGGGAAAGACCTCAAGGTTGATTGTAGCACAGCAAACATGAGATGACCCCAGAGGCAGAGGAACACGGGATAGCAGTGTGGGTGCAGGACCTGCACAGGGTGTTGCTAGAGGCCCCCAGCAAATGAGTGGTGAGATGCTCAAGTGAGGATGTGCAAATGGCTGGGAGCTTGGCCTGGATCCCCACAGGGAGGTCAGAATTGGAGAGGGGCATCGTGAGGACTCAGAGACACTAGAGAACAAGGACAGGTCACATGCCAGAAGCCAAGGGGTGAGGCAATGCCAACAAGAGTGAGGGGCCACAGGAAGTCCATGCTGAAGGGAACACAAGGTCATGACACTGGCTATCGGGTCACAGGTGACTCTGGCCAGATGTTGCCAGTGATGGAGTGGGGCAGATTGCAAGAGGCTGAGAAGGGGGGACTGGGACCAGGGGTCAAGGCCTAGGCCCAGTGGCAGACCCAGTGGAAGACCCAGTGGTGCTGGGAACCAGAGGCTGCCGGGACTCCCTTGTTGCTGGGCTCCAAGCTGCATTCTATGAGTTGGGATCCAGGTGGCGCCATTTGCACAGAACACGATTTGATGGCCACCTGGGAGGTTGTGCAATGTTGGTACCTGCAGGGACTCCTCCTACCAACTGGCCAGATCCCCTGGTCTTGCAAGATTCTTAAGGTTACAAAATCCTGTGTTTTCTCCAAGAACTGTGCCAGGGTCAGGGAAACCATAAGGGAGAACGATGCCCTGGCTGCCTGGAGGTAATCGTGACCAGGAACTCCCAGGCACTCCACTGTGGGCATGCCGTGGGCACAGGGCTTCCCTCCCGATGGTCTGCATGTCCGGCATGTCCACTCAGTGGGCAAGCAGGCTCGGAGGCAGCAGGGCTGGGTTTGGGAGCTTCCTGCAGAGAGTGTGCTTACCTGCTCCGGGTTGGGCAGAGCAAAGGGCATGAGAGCATCCATGGGCACCACCCACGGAGAGATGGTGGTCCCAAAACTCTTCCCAAGGAATGGCCCGAGAGGGACATACTCCCACTTCTGAATGTCTCGTGCTGCAGAAGAAGGGGCGCACCCGGGACTTACAAAGGCTGATCAGGGCCTCTCCCCAAGACCCCCTCCTGCCCTTGACCAAGGAGAAAAGACACCCAGCACAGCCCCTCCACAAAGCTCAGCCCCAGCCAGGCTGCCCCAGGACCAAGGGGCAAGAGCCTCCAACGCCAAGGACAGAGGTCCTTTGAGGCCACTGTGCCAGGCTACAGCAAAGAGAAGGATGACCCAACGGTGGTCAGGATATCCCCCAGGAAGGGGCCGGAAGCTTATCCTCAAACTATGAGGGAGACACTTCCTGGGGCTTACGGTGCCACCTTCCTCCCACGTGTCGCAAAGGGTTGAGAGCTCAGGCTCAGAAGCTGGACTGTTTTGCTTCAAATCTTAGTTCAGCAATTAACTGAAATCTCCCTGTGCCTCAGTTCCTCATCTGTAAAATGGGAATGATAATATTGCACATGCCACGTAGGGATCAGTGGGAGAATATATGTAGGGTGTTAAGCACGGGGCCTGACACATAAGTGCTCAGTAAATATTAGTTATGGTGTCAGCCGTGTCCCTAGCCACTCATGAGGAAACTGGAGCTCAGAGGAGTTAAGTGAGTGGCCTGAGTTCTTAGAGCTGAAACTCTGTTTGATACCCAAACCCACACTCTCAGTCACTGCATCAACTGCCACTTTTGACCTGCACCAGATCTTCAGCTTCTATGAAATTGCCCCCAGTCCCCAGCCTCCTCCACCTCATCTCCACAGGAGCAGAACTCCAGTAATTACCACTCCAGTCGTTCATAAGGACCATCCCAAAAATGTGCTCATGGGCCTTGGAAATGGGGATCGGCTCTCCCAATCTGTTTCCAGGGCCTACAAAAAAAGCCTGACATGGGGGAGAGTTCATTAGAATCCGGAGCTGATCTGCCCGCCCAGGTCACTTGTCACCTAAAGAGCAAAGGTCAAGTATTTCCAAACTCCAGCCATGGATCAGGACTGCCACAGGGGCCTGGCAAGAATCCACTGTGTTTCTAAGTCAGAGGTCGGGTAGACGCCTCAGGAAAGCAGCGTGCAGTGGTGTGCCCTGCCCCCGCCCCCAGCCTTCCTTCCACGCCCCTGAGCTCCACAGCAGCCTCCCCTCCCTTCAGTGCATCCCAGACCACTCTGCTCTTTCCTCTTCGTCCCATACAGACTTTGCCTTTCAAGACTTGACAGCTACATGGGGCTTGTAAAACTGAAATTTTCAGAGTTTGTATTCATGTCATGAAAAGCCAGGCCAGACGCTGTGGCTCACGTCTATAATCTCAGCACTTTGGGAGGCTGAGGTGGAAGGATCACTTGAGCCTAGGAGTTTGAGACAAGCCTGAGCAACATAGTGAGACCCACCTCTACAAAAAATAAACAAAATTAGCCAGGCATGGTGGCACCCGTCTGCAGTCCCAGGTACTTAGGAGGCTTATGTGGGTGGACTGCTTGAGCGAGGGAGGTCAAGGCTGCAGTGGGCTGAGATCACACCACTGCACTCCAGCCTGGGTGACAGAGCAAGACCCTCTCTCAAAAAAATAAAATAAAATAAAAATAAAAATTTTTTAAATGAAAAACCAAAAGACTGCCTCCTTCATGTAGCAAATAGTGCCAGAGAGAGCACACCCCACAGCCTCTAACCCCAATCCATCACCCCACTACCTCTAAAGAAAAACAGCACCAACGTGATGTCCATGAACCAACAGACTAGCCAGACATCATTAGAAAGAAAAAATTGGGAAAATCTCTTTCGAAAACACGTAGACTCAGCCATGACATTTGCAAAACTTAGTCACCATTGTATTTGTTCTGTGACAGTAAATATTGCAAATTTTCATCAAGATAAAAAAAGAACCCAAAACACTATCTTGTGGAGAATCCCACAACCTTCAGTCCAGGTGACCTGGGTTCTCTGCCCCAACCATTTCTCCACACGCTGACTCTCTCTGTCTTTTCTCTCCCCCTCTCAACAGGGACCAACATGGGTGAAGTGTCTGCCTGCAGAGTCCTTAGTTCTCCCAGAGAGAAGACCGTGGCCCCAAACCAGGGCTCAGATGCCCTGCTCTGATGAATCTCAGCTGGGAGTCCTCCTCCCAAAGTCTCACATGGCACCCTTGCTAAGGCAAGAGGAGGCAGAGGGCTGGCAGGGAATGCTCTGCTATCCACAGGCTATTCAGCAGTGCCCACTCATTTCCCTCCTCTGGACTGAATCCAGAGAAATCACATGGAAGCCCAGGAGAGACAGGGAGCTCCAGAAAAGCAGACGGGCCTTCCAGCCTGCCTCCACCAACCAAGGCTTCCCACTGCCTCAGCCTGACTCGGTGGCCCCACGACAGCTTCTTCTACACCATCAGAGGCACTCAGAGTTTCCTGAGGCAACGCCTAAAACTGTAGGTGCTGACTATGGGAAAGCCCCCTCCACCTGCCTGTCTGCATTTCCCACATGGAGGCTGACTCCACCCTTGGGCATCAGACAACCCAGGAGATGCTGAAGACACTGCCAGGTCCCTGGAGCACTCCCTCCCCCAGGTCAGCTCCTCCTTCGCATCACTTTCCTGGTCCCCTCACCTTGAGGGCTGCCCAGATTTCCATGTCCCCTCTGGAAAATGGGCAGCCCTGCAGCATGAGGGATCCTCAGGTGGTGGGACCAACTATACCAATATCAACATCCAGGTTGTGATAGGCACCATGGTTACGAAGGATGCTGCCATCGGGGGAGGCTGTGTGAAGGGTATTGGGATCTCCATATTATTTCTCACAACTGCATGTGAGTCTACAATGACCTCAAAATAAAAAGTTTAATTTTAAAAAGTATGCAGCCCTACAGTGACCACAGTTCTGAGGTTGTGTGGGCCCAGCTATGGGGCTGATACAGTCAATTCTTGTCACTCCTGGTAATTATTATTTTGGGGTTTTTGTTGTTGTTGTTGTTTTGTTTGTTTGTTTTTGAGATGGAGTCTCGCTGTGTCAAGCAGGCTGGAGTGTAGTGGTGTGATCTCTGCTCACTGCAACCTCTGCCTCGTGAGTTCAAGCAATTCTCCTGTCCCAGCCTCCCAAGTAGCTGGGATTACAGGCATCCGCCACCACCCCCGGCTAATGTTTGTACTTTCAATAGAGACAGGGTTTCACCATGTTGGCCAGGCTGGTCTTGAACTCCTGACCTCAGTTGATCCACCCGCCTTGGCCTCCCAAAGTGCTGGGATTACAGGCATGAGCCACTGTGCCTGGCCGGGTAATTAGTTTTTATAAAGTCATCACGAACACAGAATTAGCAAATACGGAATGACTGTTCCCAGAGGAAACACAGGATTAGGGTGCTACAAGCCTTTGGTCAGAAAATGTTTATCAACTAATCAAAACTTAACTATATAACCTTGTTTTATGTATGTTTCTGCTTAAAAACACTTTATGTAATATATTTTGTTGATTCATGAACATTGAGCTCAGGCAGCAGCACTGTACCTTGCCTGAATGAAGCTTACTAACACGCATATTCTCTCCATTAGGCATATCACAGTCTTCCTGTGCTAGGGACACTAGACGGCACTTCAGCACTGCACTTGGGGCCATTATAAAAAAACAGTGAAACCGCTAAAAAAGCACAGATACACACAAAAAAACATAGCACTAAATAGACCACAAAGGACACGTGTTTACAGCATGAGCTGAGACAAGAAGGCAGAGTAACACCTTGTCCAGCCTCACCTGGGAACGTGCTCACCAGGCAGCTCATGTTTCACTGCTCTGCGCGTGTCCACACGTGCCCACAAAAGCTCTGTGAATATTAATTTTGGACTTACAAATAAATGTTAGCAAATAGTTGTGAATTCTCAAATACAGAATCTGCAAGTAATGAGACTCAACTGTCCTTCTGACGGCCAGGTGGGGACACAGAGCAGCTGCCAATGTGCCTGAAGAGGAGAGGAGTGGGCGGCTCATGGTGCAGGCAGCCATCCCAGAGGGCTCTCCTGCTGGGTGTCTATAGATCCCGTGGCAATAAAACACCAAGCTCACTCACCATTTCCAGCTCCATGTCCAAGAGCTTGCAGGCACCATACACAGGAGGCTTAGCTGGAGTAACACCAGAAAAAAAAAAAAAAGACTGCTGTGAGTGAGGCCACAGAATTCACTGTGTGGAAACAGAGAGCTGGGCACCAGCAGGGTCTGGATGCTGGGGTCACTTACAGTCATCAGGTTTCATCTGCCCCATAGGCCTTCGGATTGGGGTACCAGACACCACGATGGAGGAGGCACGGCCATGGTAGCCCACTGGTAAGTGCAGCCTGAGAAAGAAAGGCAAGAGAATGCAGGGCATCAGAGCTGTTACATGTTGTCAATTAAGTTTAAAAACTTCAAAAATTAGAAACAAAGAGTCACCATATACATATGGCTCAAAAATCAAAAGGTGCTTACAAGTTTCCATCCATGGACACATGGATAAACAAACTGTGGTACATACATACAGTAGAATATTATTCAGCCTCAAAAAGGAAGAAAATTCTGGACTAGGTGCAGTGGCTCGCGCCTGTAATCCCAGCACTTTAGGAGGCCGAGGCAGGCAGATCATATGAGGCCAGGAGTTCGAGAACAGTTTGGGTAATATGGTGAAACCCGTCTTTACTAAAAATACAAAAATTAGCCAGGCATGGTGGTGCACGCCTATAGTCCCAGCTATTCGGGAGGCTGAGGCAGGAGAATCACTTGAACCTGGGAGGTGGAGGTTGCAGTGAACCGAGATCGCACCACTGCACGCCAGCCTGGGCAACAGAGCAAAACTCCGCGCCGCCCCCCCGCCAAAAAAAAAAAAAAAAAGATACAGCCATGTCCTAACTCCCAGAAAATATGGAAAAAGAGTCTTTTTACAGTTAATCAAGTTAAGAATCTTGAGATGTGATCATCCTGGATTATCCAGGTGAGCCCTACATCCAATTAGAAATGTCCTTATAAGAGACAGAAGAGAAGATGTAGAGAGGAGGAGAAGGCCACGTGAAGACAGAGGCAGACACTGGAGTGATGCAGCCACAAGGAACGCCTGCAGCCCCCGGAAGCTGGAAGCAGCAAGGACAGCGATGGTCCTAGAAGCTTCAGGAGGAGATGGCCCTGCTGACACCTTGATTGCAGACTTATGGCCTCCAGAAACTGAGGGGATAAATTCCTGTTGTTGTGACTTTTTCTCATAGCAGCCCCAGGAAATGGATACAGACCCACACCACACCTCACACATAAAAGGAAATCCAGATGGATTCAAGATCTAAGTGTACAAAGAAAGGCTATTACGGACACTAGAAAAAACAACAACAACAACAAAAACACACACACACACACAATTTCCAAATTCTTGGGGTGGAGAAAGCCTTTCTAAACATTACACAAAAGTAAATGCCATAAGGAAAATGATTGGCATGCTTGACTTTATAAAAATGCAAAACTCTGTATCTAGAAAGACTGGCAAACAAAGAAAAAAGAACATACCGGGAGAAAATATTTGCAATGCATTGCAACAAAGGGTTAATTTCTATCACTTATATAACACCTTTTAAACAAATAATAGAGAAGTGACTGTATAGATAAACTGGCAGAGTATGCAAAAACATCTGTGAAAAAATATATAAGAAGGCCAGGCACGGTGACTCACGCCTATAACCCCAGCACTTTGGGGGACCAAGGCAGGCGGATCGCTTGAGTCCGGGATTTTGAGACCAGCCTGGTCAACATGGTGAAAACTCATCTCTACAAAAAATAAAAAAATTAGCCAGGCATGGTGGCATGCACCTTTAGTCCCAGCTACTTAGGGGGCTGAGGCAGGAGGATGGCTTCAACCTGGGAGGTCAAGGCTGCAGTGAGCCAAGGTCATGCCACTGCACTCCAGCCTGGGTGACCAAGTAAGACCCTGTCTCAAAAAAAAAAAAAGAAAGAAAGAAAGAAAGAAAGGAAGAGAAAGAAGGCCAGGCGCGGTGGTTCACATCTGTAATCCCAGCACTTCGGGAGGCCGAGGCGGGTGGATCACGAGGTCAGGAGATCGAGACCATCCTGGCTAACATGGTGAAACCCTGCCTCTACTAAAAATACAAAAAATTAGCCGGGCGAGGTGGCGGGCGCCTGTAGTCCCAGCTACTCGGGAGGCTGAGGCAGGAGAATGGCATGAACCTGGGAGGCGGAGCTTGCGGTGAGCTAAGATCGCACCACTGCACTCCAGTCTGGGTGACAGAGCGAGACTTCGTCTAAAAAAAAAAAAAAAAAAAAGAAAATATATATATGACACTGATGAACAGTTTTGCCTCTGGAGAGGGGAACTGGATGGTGGCCCATAGGTGGTTGAGTTCTGTTTTTTCCCATTGTTTACCCTTAAGTACCTTTTGAATTCTCAACCATTCATATATATTGACTCTTTTTATTGCTTTTAATTTTTTAAATGTTTGATAAATTATTTTGCAATATTTATGATATACAAATACATGTAATAACAAAAGTCACCATGCACTACCAAGGAGCTAAAGAAATACCACTTCACTAATCCAGTCCAATGCATCCTTGGGATCCCTCCCTGGTCTCACTCTTCTTCCCTCCCTTCCTGCCCCTCACCCTAGAGGAAACCAGCATGGTCCTCATTTCCCTATATTTCTAGACACTTTCATTACTGTACTGTTTTTTGGGGGACCGGGGGGTGAGGTTTGAGACAGAGTCTCGCTCTGTCACCCAGGCTGGAGTGCAGTGGTGTGATCTTGGCTCACTGCAACCTCCACCTCCTGGGTTCAAATGATTCTCCTGCCTCAGCCTCCCAACTAGCTGCGACTACTGGTGCCTGCCACCACAGCTGGCTAATTTTTTTTTTTTTTTTTTTGAGACAGAATCTCGCTCTCTTGCCCAGGCTGGAGTGCAATGGCATGATCTCAGCTCACTGCAACCTCCGCCTCCCAGGTTCAAGTGATTCTTCTGCCTCAGTCTCCCAATTAGCTGGGATTACAGGCACCTGCCATCATGCCCAGCTAATTTTTGTACTTTTGTAGAGATGGAGTTTCACCATGTTGGTCAGGCTGGTCTCGAACTCCTGACCTCAGGTGATCCACCCATCTCGGCCTCCCAAAGTGCTGGGATTACAGACGTGAGCCACTACGCCCAGCTGCTAATTTTTGTATTTTTAGTAGAGACAGAGTTTCACCATACTGGCCAGGCTGGTCTCAAACTCCTGACCTTCTGATCCACCCACCTCGGCCTCCCAAAGTACTGGGATTACAGATGTGAGCCACTGCACCCAGCCCTACTGGACCATATTTTTGTATCTTTTTATAAAAATGATATTTTACTGTGTAATTATCTTGTATTATCTACTCCAAAAAACTTATTTTGTAAAAGACTGAGGTAGATTTAAACTTATTTACATGGAGATATGTCAATGATGAAGTGAAAAAAAGTAAATTTCAGCATGGCCTCGTTTTGTTAACGAAAGAAATAAAATGCATATGTATACATGCATATGTGTGGTCATGCATGTGTAACCTGGAGCAAAGTACAGGAGGCAGCACATCCAACTTGTTCAAAGTAGTTGCCCCTGGTGAGTGGCTGAGGAAGAGCTCCCTTTTTTACCCACTTTGGTTCCTTTATTGGATTAAATTATAAAATTCAATTGCATGCAATTACATGGCATGTAATAATGCAAACAATTCAGATGAAAAAAAGGAGTTAGTAATCTCTCCCCATCCAGCCACTCCCCTGAGGAAAGCAATGTTAATCTGCAGTCTGATATTTTTTGCCTTTCTCTATGCTCATACCAGCCTATGGAAATAATGTATGCATAAGTGTGTGTGTGTGCACGTGCACATGCGTGTGTGTGTGTTAAGCTGAAAAACAGCCCTCCAAAAGATATCCAGATCCTAATCCCTGCAGCCTGTGGATATTATTACATGGCAAAAAGGGTTTTGCAGATGTGATTAAGTTAGGGATCTTGAGATAGGGATACTGTCCCTGGTTATTTGAGTGAGCCCTAAATGTAATCACAAGGGTCCTTATAGACAGAGGCAAGGTCAAAGGAGGAAGTAGGAAATGTAACAGTGGAAGCGAGTGGTTGCAGTGATGTGAGGAAGGGGTCAAAAGGCAAGGGATACAGGCAACCTCTAAAGTCGAACAGTCAAGGAAATGGGTTCTCTCCTAGAGCCTCCAGAAGGAACAAGCCCTGCTGACACCTTGGCTTTAGCCAGTGAGACTGATTTTCGACTTCTGGCCTCCAGAACTAGAAGAGAATATATTTATGTTTTAAGCCACCAAGTTTGTGGTGATTTGTTACAGCAGCAACAGAAAACTAATACAGTGTGTATGTACGTATATATTTTTTGTGCTTTTTTTATAAAAGAGAAACACACTTTACCTAATTGCCTATAGTTTACCTATTTCACTTAACATAGATCAATGAACATCTCTCTTGATCTAAATCTTTCACTAGCTACAAAACATTTCATATTGTGAATAGACCAATTTTTCAACCATTCCTCCACTGATAAGCATTCAGATTACTTCCAGCTCTGGGCCACTAGCAACTCTGCTAATTAACATCCTTGCTTTTGGATACAACCCACTGGTGCTTTTATTTCTGTAGGATAGATGCATGAAAGTGAGCATTGCAGGTCAAAGAGAAGACATAGTTTAAATTGTAAATGTTTTACTTTACATATTTTCTGTAGTGTTTGAGTTAATTCCAGTAAATATACATTACATTTATAATGAAGACTATGTACAGAAAGTTAAAAAGTCACAGCCGTGGGTCATCTTGCATCAAACATGGCTAGAGAAGGCCTGTTTGCTCTTATTCTGCAGAAGAACATGGGGCAAGGATGGCTGTGGCCCCCACACTTGGTTTCAGACATAGTCAACACTCATTTCCCAGGTCCTGGCTCTCCTCTCACTTCCTGGTACCCGTGCCCTTTGGCCACTGGGATCCTGGCACATAGGTGATAGCCAGCTCTTCTGGGGCTGGGCAGTCCACTGGGTCATCACTGCCAAGGACACTCAGATAGACAAGTTGAAGCTGGCTGGGGACAAATACAGCCTGGAGTCTGTAAAATGCAAGAGTCTCAAATATTTGCCCATCTCACATGGGAGCCTGGAACCCGGAGTATGGGTTCTGGTCTCAGATTCACCCATGCCTTGTTCTGCAACCTTGGCCTTGTTGCTCAACATGTCTGGCTTGGAACTGCTCTCTCTCCCTTTCTTTCTTCTTCATCTTGGTTCTAACAGACCCTCCTCTCATGGCATAGCCTACTGGAGACACTCACTCAAGAGAGAGTAAAGCCCCGTCCCTAACCCAGCTCCTGTGTGTGACTGATGGCACCGGAGCCTGGGGTGTATGCCTGTCACTGTGTCCAAGCCCTCTTCAGTTCCAAGGAATCATCTCAACCAGCAGACAACACAGAACAAAGGGCAAGGATCCCAGCTCTGCATCCTCAGCTTGGTCAATGGCCTGATCTGGGGGCTGGGAGACAGGCTGTGGCCCTGTTGTGCTCAGTCAAGTTGATCCTTCTCTGAGCCCATTTTCCCATCTGTAAAATGGGGCTTACAATCATGGCCTTGTGACATCACAGAACTACTATGAGGTTCAAACAAATGAATGAAACAGATCACATGTTGAGGAATATACAGCACTGGGCACATTTGAGGATTCTCATTCATCAGAAAATGTAAGTATGGAGCATGCTAGAGTCTAAGACTTGCCCATAGTACGATAATACACAGCTTATAAATGAAAGACTCCAGAAGGAGCGTAGTGATTCAGGGAATCTAATTCCAACCCCTGCTGTCCAAAGGAGCTTAAGAGACTTGCCCTTCGATCCCACAGCAAGTCCTGAGCCAAGCTGAGCAGGAGACCAGAAGCTGAGACCACTGCTTCCAGAGGTTACAACATCATAACTGCTTTTCCTCCCCCGTTTACTTTAAGAAGAACTTGGCAGCCCCTGAGACAAACATGCTGCTGGAAATGAAAAGAAAGACTTTGAACTTATGCAAACATTTGGCCCAGAACATACCAATTTGGCATCAATGCATTCTCCTTGTCCCTGAACATGATTCCAACATTGGTAGCATGCTGCCGAGAGGAATAGAAGTCTGTGTAGTCTCCTGCAGAGGAGAGACCCAAGAGATCCCATCAGCAACCCAGATGCCTCAGGAAAGAGAATGCACTGTTCTAAGCACTGGAGCCATGAGTGTGCACACAATACTGTTTACACATCCAGAGCTCAGCCTGCAGCCAGCAGTGACAGCACCAAATGCAATACAAAATATCCTCACTGAAGATTTGTTCTGAGAGCCCTCAGCTGAGAAACAAATAAGAAATTAGGAGTCCAGACTTTCTGAAACTGACAGTGGAATGTGAACACCAAGTGGCTGATACCACTCCCCTTCTCAGGCTCCCCACTTTTACCACACACAACTGCCATTCCCGAGTTCCCACAGGCTCCCTCACCATGCGTATACTGACTGACTTCTCCTTTGTCCTGTGTGTTCAAATCCTGGCAACTCTTTGAGGCCCCCTCCTCCCTGAAGCCTTCTCTGCTCTCTCTAGCAGGATCTCTTGCCCCTCCAAATCCCCTCCCCTGAATCCTTCTGGGGCAGGCTTCGCTTCCCACTGGTGCTCCGGTTATATGTGTGCACATCTTTGCTAGACTGTGGACATTCCAGGACAGCCCCAGCCCAGTCCTCATTTTCTTGAACTCTGCCCAAGTGCCAAGGACAAGGGTGTGCACGCTGCAGATGCATATCAGTGCCTATTGATTATGATGAACTGAACAGGCTGGCCAGCAAGCTGTAGGCATATCTACCATTCGGAGAATTAAAAATTTGAAAGAAAAACCAGCTGGGACAGTCTGCCTGTTTTATCTTCCTAAATGTCTCCTCGTCTCCTCAAAGAAAAAAAAAAAAAAGCTGGGTATTCATCAATATCAACAGCCTAGACTAGCAACAGTCATGGTGAAGGGTGAGAAGAGGAAGAAAAGTCCACGGGGCAGGTGGAGCCTTAGCTGCTGCTTCCCATCTTCGGTCTCCATGCACAGAAGTAATAGCTGAGAGATTTTTCAAAAGAATAAATCCATAACAAAAAATAATAATAATAACAAGAAAGAGCACCATCAGTCAACCAAACATGATGAGGAATCCCTGAAAGACATATGGTTTGCACAACAGCTGGTTTGCCAAAAAATAGCACAGTCCCATGAGTGCGTGAGGGTAGGGAGTGAGAGGGGCTGGGAGGAGGCAGGTGACTCAGCCCCTGTCCCCAGTCCCATCCTCCAGTCAGCTTAGCCCAAGCAGCCCAGCAGCAAAGGACTCTCCCCGGACAGCAAGAGCTGTTCCAGAGAGGCAGTGCACCCCAGGGCAGGGTCAACCGGCTCCTCAGCTTACAGGTGCCCGGGTAACCCAGCTGAGGAGGCCTGTGCACAAGGAAGAGGGCTGCGCTTTGGGCCGCAGGCTGAACCAGCCTCTCTCTGCTTCAGGTTGAGAGTTTCAACAGCTCCAACTTCCTGAATGACGCTCCAACCAGACATCCTGCCACGTGCTCAAACTGGGGCCCTTCATAACCCTCTGGCGTCTTTCCTCAAAACTGCTCACAGACTGAGCTCAGAGAACTTGTCCCATAGCCTTTTGGGGAAGGAGAGCAATTTGCTGAATCCTTCTGGGGCAGGCTTGTAGCTGAATCCTTCTGCAAGGAGCCATGTAGCTAGTCATGAACTTGACCAGCCTGCAACTCACTACCTGAGCCAAGATATAGCCTGAGTGAATGCTGGGCTTGGGTGCTGAGAAAGGTCAGTGATAAGGAGGGGGTAACAGCCCCAGAGCCCCTCTATCTCCCCGCCCCCAGCAGGGACCCTCCACCCAGATGCAGAATCAAAGCACCTGGCCAGCCCTCTTGGCCCATGAAGCTGCTCTGTTCTTGCCTTGGTGAAGAGACTGCACTCACCTATGGTGGCTGGAAGGTGCATCGTGGCAGAAGCCTGGGAGATGAATGCACTGAAACACAGAACCAGGGGCTTCAAAGTCAAGCAGGCAGCAAAGCGCGGTCCCACCCACAGGCTCAGTCCAGACCATCCCCAAGATTATCCACGGTCTCCAGTGGGCACCTCCTGGCTGGCCTGGGGCCAGAGCTATGCTGAACCTTTCACAGCTGAGAGGACATCCACCCACTGTAGCCGTCTCTATATTCTACCCTAGGAAATGGGACACGTGGAAACTCTTTCCTTCTCTAGGAACCAGATGAGGGCACAGATGATGCTAATGAGGACTGGCTGAGTAAGAGAGAGGGCCAATGGGCCTGGCCTGGCCTAGCTCGGGCAGCTCCAGTCCAGGCACCAAGGCAATCCCAGTCCTCCCAAAGCCCTCCCATCAATATGCAGCTCAGGCAGGGGCTGTATGGGGGCAGGTCTCACTTGACCACATTAAGGCTGCCGAGCCGTGACTCAGAATGGCACTGACCACCACACAGCCCTCATCTCCCCTGCTGCGTCTCCTCATCACCTCCATGACCACGTGCTTCTCACCGCTTCCGAAGTTCAGTGTCATCTCTGAGTCTGGCTTGGCTCACAGACAGCAAGTTCTGCAAGAACACTCTCGCCTCCTTCCAGGCAGCCTGACCCAGGCCCATGAAGCTGTTGAGCACAGGCTAAGACCAAAACACGGAGAAAGAAGATTACGCACAGGAAAACCCAGGGAGTATCCCTCCTGCCAATGGGAGGCCAGCCAGCTTGCCTGCCCCTGCCACTTCTCTCCCATTCACTCAAACTCTCAGGACCTCTGCTCTTAGTTTTGTCATCTATTCATCAAGCTGGAGAAAAGCATATCCTCTCTTGACGTTGCCTCATGCCCTCCTGCACCTGCACACAAGCCCAGGAGCTGCTACCTGGCACAGCAACTGTGCTAAACTTGGCCCAGCCCACAGTTGAAGGTGGCCATGTTCTTCCAGTAGAGGCACACTCCAATCTGCAGAGTGATCACAGCCTAAACTAATTCCTTTCACATCAGTTAAGAAGAGGTTTGGGGCTGGGTGTGATGGCTCATGCCTATAATCCCAGCACATTGGGAGGCCGAGTTGGAGGATCACTTGAGCCCAGGAGTTCAAGATCAGCCTGGGCAATATAGTGAGACTTCATCTCTATTTAAAAAAAACATTTCCACTCTGTCACCCAGGCTGGAGTGCACTGATGTGATCTCGGCTCACTGCAACCTCTGCTTCCCAGGTTCAAGCAATTCTCCTGCCTCAGCCTCCCGAGTAGTTGGGATCATAGGCGTGCACCACCACGCCCAGCTAATTTTTGTATTTTTAGTAGAGAGAGGGTTTCACTATGTTGGCCAGGCTGGTCTCGAACTCCTGATCTCAAGTGATCCACCCGCCTCAGCCTCACAAAGTGCTGGGGTTACAGGTGTGAGCCACCATGCCCGGTCAAGAGCTTTTCTAATTTAAAAAAAGAAGAGGTTTTGTAGCCAGTGAGGCATAGCAGAAAAAGCCCTTGTAGGTTCTAAGAGTCAGAGTTCCAGCTCCAGCTCTGATACTTTTAGCTGTAGAGCTTGGGAAAACAGTGTCTCATTCCAGAATTTCAGGTCCCCATCTAGATACTCAGGCCCCCATAGGAATTCCAATTCCTATGCCAGAGGGTGGTCAGGAGGATTGAAGGAGAGGATGTGTGTGAAGCTCCTGGCACACAAGAGGTACCCATAAATCCCACCCTCCTTCCTGACCCATGCAATGACAAGATGCTATATCAAAGTAGCTGACCATTTACAGGGAAGCAAATTCATGTCCATCCCACGTGAACACGTACTTCAGGCTGACTCCTCCATGGCTGCTTCCACAGAACTGGAGGGCAGGACTCGTAGCTCCCTCCCTTGGGGGCCCACACAGCCCTTGGACAGGCAGAGGCTCAAACAGCTTGACAAGGAAAGTAACCAGAGTTCCTGAAGAGCTTCACCTCAGAGACAACTGGAAACGACCCAGGACTGCAGACATTGAGACTTTTTTCACCTAGGAACTCACCCTGAGGTGAGAAGCCACCCTGAATTATCCCAAGGCCACCTCCTACCAGCTTGTCTGTCTCAAAACAACCCCAACCTTATCCAAGTATAACTTCTGAGACCTCCGATGGCATTACCTTTATCGATAATGGAACGCAAGGAGCATTCTCTTTTTGGCATCTGCAGTGCCACTGAGGTCAGGAACAAGCCGTTTCACAATGTCCTACCTGATTGAAGACATCCTGGTGTTTGGAGAGGACAGGCCCAGTAAAGAGGTGCTTGATGACGCTGAGGTCCAGGATCTGGTCGCCAATGGCCACGCCTATCCTCAGTCTTGGCTAGGAGGAAGATGACATGGTCAGCACCAGAAAAAGTCCCTGGCTGGGCTTGGCTCATTTCCTCAGAAAGCCTGCCTATTGAAGAGGCCATGGGTCCCCCTTTAGGTGGCCCTGTGTACAGAGCGGACTGAAGAACCACCTTCTCAGCATCCTGCCCCAGCTCCCTTGTGCCATCTCTGCTTCCAGGACTAAATGGAAAAGAATCTGTGTTCCCTGAATGGGAAATAAATCAAATATCCCTTGGACTAGGGGAAGAGCAGTCAGCCTGGTCCTAGCCACTTAACATGACCAAAGTCCCCTGCAAAGTTCCCTAGGCATTACATAAATGCCTCCAGTGACGAGGAGCTCACCACCTTACCAGGATGTTGGATTATTTTCCAGGTTTAACCTAGGCCTTGGCTCAGGGTAATTCAGTTGTGCAGTGGAGCAGTGAGTGCCCGATGCACAGTGCTGAGGGCCAGGTGGCTTGGATTAATGAGCTCTGTTGTGGCTCAAATGGAGGAGAGCTCAGGTTATAAGGGAGCTGCAGGAAGCCAGACTGCTCAGAACATGCAAGGGAAGTTCCTTTCTGCACCACAAAATCCCAGCATCAGCAAAGATGTCTTAAATATTTGTTAAGGCCTGGTCTTTGTCCCCACAACCCTGAGCTTTGCTCGTCAACAAGAACCAGAGGGCATGTTTGCAGACTCAACTTCCTGGTGCTCTGTCCTGAGTCAGGCTTCCAGCTTTCCTGAACCACCAGCTTGGCCATTTCAGTGCCAGCGAGCTTAGTGGTGGGATTATTGGCTGGCCTTATCTCCATCGACTGCTCACTGGGGTGGGCTGAGAAAAGATGGCCACTTCTCCATGCATGTCAGCTCTTGGGACCGGGGTAGAGCAGAGCCACAATCCTCACCTGAGGTCCCAGCAGAGCCTACCCTAGAAGAGGCTGCCCGGAGAGCTTAGCTACCCATTATCAGCCCTGCTGCCAACTCCCTGTGCCTCAGTCTTCCCCTCCTGAAAATGGAAAATCTGCTGCAGTAGGCAAAGAGCTGAACCACCTGGATCCAAGTGGTTTTCCATTCAGGGAATGTGCAGGTCAGACCCGTGGACCACATCTCTGACCCTGGTCCCCACACCCAGCTAAAGGCAAGAAGGAGCCACCACCAGTAAGCAACCTCCAAAATGGGGTCACAAGTGCAGCTGCCTGATGCCTCAAATGCAAACAAAGCATAGAAGCTTCAAACTTGTGCTTCAAACTATGACCTGAGGACCCAGAAAAAGTCTGAGAGAGTGAGTACCCTCTACTTTTAACTTTGGGAGTTATTTTCTTCAGCACAAAACTAGAAGGGGCTCACAAGTCGGATCCAGGATTCCTGGGCTCCAAGTCTGTTCCCTCATTCACCATCTTATCATCTTGGACAAGTCCCTGGTCGTCTCTGGGCCTCAGTTTCCCATATGCAACTTGAGGGAAACAAACCAAGGAGGGATACTCCATTTGTCTAACTTCAAGAGAAAAATGTGCATTCCCTCTGTTTTAAAACAGTTGGTCATATCTGATATAAAGTTTTCCAAGGGAAAGCATTACCCAACTCCCAGCCTGACATAGAGGGGGAAGTATGGGATTGGTGTGGGCGAAGGATTACCCAGGTGCCGAGGCAAGAGACTGAAGGCACAACTGTAGCTATACTGCTATACAGTTATAATACAAATTAGATATACAGATGATCATGGACAATTATCAATCATTACTATAAACATTATTAATCATTAGCTTTTAATAGTACTCTTTGTTGCATTACTAATATAACCTAGGAATAACCGGTGGGTATAGGGTGAGATACTGAAGGGACATTGTGAGAAGTGACCAAGAAGGCAAGAGATGAGCCCTCTGTCACACCCGCATAAGGGCCGCTTGAGGACTCCTTGGTCAAGCGGTAAGGCCAGTGTCTGGGAAGGCACCCATTACTTAGCAGACCACGAAAGGGAGTCTCCTTTCCTTGCGGAGTCAGGAAACACTCTGCTCCACCAGTTTCTTGTGGGAGGCCGGATATTATCCAGGCCTGCCCGCAGTCATCTGGAGGCCTAAACCCCTCCCTGTGGTGCTGTGCTTCAATGGTCACACTCCTTGTCCACTTTCATGTTCCTCCCATACTCCTGGTTCCTCTTTGAAGTTCTTAGAAGATAGCCGTAGAAGAAATAGCGAAAGTCTTAAAGTCTTTGATCTTTCTTATAAGTGAATAGAAGAAAACGCTGACGTATGCTGCCTTCCCTCTCTGGCTGTGGCTACCTGAAAGGGAAGGGCCCACTGTCCCATGATCACGTGACTTGCCTGACCTTATCAATCACTTGGACGATTCACCTCCTTACCCTGCCCCTCTTGTCTTGTATGCAATAAATATCAGTGCACCCAGCCATTCGGGGCCACTACCGGTCTCCGCGTCTTGGTGGTAGTGGTCCCCCGGGTCCAGTTGTTTTCTCTTTATCTCTTTGTCTTGTGTCTTTACTTCTTACAATCTCTCGTTTCCACACACGGGGAGAACACCCGCTAAGCCCCGTAGGGCTGGACCCTACAGATTGGGAGGCTGACAGATGTGGGGATCAACCCCATATCTGCCTCCTACTGGCTGTGAGATCTGGAGCATGATGCTTTGCCTCTCTGGGCCTCAGTTTCCTCATCTGTAGAATGGGGACAATAACTTCACAGTAGTTTTATTGTGAGAATTTGATTAATATCTATAAATCTCTCACCACAAGAACAGACACAGGGTAGATGCTATTCATGCCACAAACATTTAGAAAGCATCTTCTCAGTACCAGCACTACACAAAGGCTGCTGAGGTCCTGGGAACAGTGACTTGGTTCCTTCTCTCCAGAAGCAAAAGGAAACTACAGGGTGTGGTGAGAGACAACAAAGGCTGGGCAGCAGCTGGGAGCTCTTTCAGAGAGAGTGCTTAGGAGGTGACATTTAAGCTGAGTCCCAAAGAGTGAGAAGGGGCCAAGCATATAGAGAGCAGAGGGATGAGTATTCCAGGCAGAAGGAACAACATGTGCTAAGGCCCGAAGGCAGGAAGCTGCTCTTAGCATGTCTCAGAGACTCAAAGGCAGCCAGTGTGGCTGGAGAGAGCAGAGGCCAGGAGGCAGTGGCAGGGCCAGACCCCAGGGACTTTAAGAAGGCACCCGGCAAACCAGCTCCACACTACCACAATCTCGTTCTCAGAGGCCACCACCCCTACCTTCACAGAGAGCACCCCATATGCCTTACTAGTCCATGAGCAACCAGAAATGGAAGGAAGGCGTCTCCTGTGTCTTCGATCCCAACTCACAGCCTAGGCAGTCTGGACCACAGTTAGGGTTCCTAAGCATTCGCTGAATAAAAAAAGGAATAAAGTGATGACTGCGTTCATTGTTATTCCACTCAAATTAGGAAGGGCTGACTGCTGACGTGGGGGAAGGGAGGTTTTGCCTTGGCAACTAGTCTTGCCTGGCAAGGCAGCCATCACCGTTGGAACGTCCAGTGCCTGCAGAGAAAGTTTCAGATGAGGCTTGTTCAGCTGGACGGCCAAAGGGCCAACTCTCCACCCCCAGCACTCTATCAGAGGACAGGGGGATGGGGCTCTCTCTCCCAGACATCTGTAGTGGCTGCCCTGCACATGCTGATGTTGAAACAGCAGGACATGGTGTCTGAAAGCCCCTAGCCACACTCTAAGGGACATTAATTCGATTCCCCTGAGAAAGCAAGTCAGAGCACCCTACTGGGGTGTGCCTGCCTCTCACAAATGTTTCTGTCTAATGGATTTGTGCTCCAGGAAAGGTGAGGGAGGATACATCTGCTGAGGGCAAAGTGTTTGAGGACGGCAGAGGAAGGGTTTTGTCTGCAGAAAGGTTGTTGGCCATCACAGGTTAAGGTTTAATGTGCCTCAAATTGTGTCCTCCAGGGGATTTAATGTCCACTTTCTGTGTCCTTGCAACATCTGGTCAGCCTGGCCAGATATGAAACCACAAGTTGACTCTTCTAGACCAAAGTACTCACTGCAGACAGGCCCATAAAAGGCCAGCCACTTGCCTCCAATGACAAGCCATGGGGGAAGGAGGGGACCCCACTTTCCAGGAAGAAGCCAACTGCCAAGCCCCTCGTTTAGCAAACATTTCCTGATTCTGGGGTTCTATGGCTTACAGAGCTGAATCAGAAGTGTACCTTTAAAGTTGGGAGCAAAAATCTAAGCCAAAAATATCATCAACAAATCCAAGGGAATCTGCTTTTCCAACCTAGGGACCCTCTTATTATCTATTTGCTGATAAACCTCCAGTTTTCAAACACTTATTTCTACCAATCAGACTACACTGACTTAGTCAAAGTTTGTTTCCCTGCCCTCTTTCTTCTGATCAGTGGGGGAATGCCAGGCAGCCCACACCAGGAGCTGAAAGAATTCCAGCAACAGGCAGAGAGAGACACTTGCCATCTTAGATCGCACAGCTCTAAGACAGGACGTGCGCGTCCCCCTCTGAGCTGCTACGCATACCGGGTTATCATTTCCTGGGTTCTAGGGTTAGGGGCTATCCAGTGAGATGAACCACCAGCCTCTTGGGCAAGAGAAACACACCGCAACCGCCTCGGAGTAGGCAGCATGCCTGCGTACTGCAGCTTCCGGTAACAGAATCCTGCTTGCTCTGCTTGTCTGGGAGAGTGACACTATTCATTTCATTTTGCATTTAATTCTCAGCAAACCTGAGGACACTGAGGCTGAAAAGTCAAATAATGTGCACAACTAGAAAGTTACGAGGTGGGACTTGAGCCCACAGGCACTCTCACGGAACGGATCTTAAGAGAAAAATGACCCAAGCCTCCATCCCGCCCCTCATTCCACTCCATTCTACTCCATTCCACTGCACTCCACTCCACTCCACTCCCTCCCCGCGCCCGGAAGCCGAAGCCCCACTGCTCACGTCGCCTCTGGTGGAGAAGACGCCGTAGGGCAGGTTGTGGATGGGGAAGTCGGAATCCTCGGCCACCGGGATGAAGGACATGCTGGCGAGCACCCGGCACGGCTGCGGGCCTAAGGTGGCGTGCGGAAAGTGGGACTGAACTCTGCCGCCGTGGTCAGGCCCGGCCCCGCCCCCCCGGCCCACCCTCACGGCCTGTCCAGGTGGCACAGCAGGGACCCCGGAGGCTTCTGCCTGATTTTGATCTCACCGTAAACAACCCGCCCCCGAACCCTGAACCCTGCCCCTTCCCTACCCTGACCTCCTTGAGCTCCAGGTCCTCCACAGTCCCGCCTTCTCTTCCAGAGCCCCGCCCCTCCCCTGGCCCCGCCCCTGCGAGCCTCAGGTCCTTCACAGTCTCTCCTCCCTCCCCGATCCCCGCCCCTCCCCTTGTCCCGCCCCCGCGAGCCCCAGGTCCTCCACAGTCTCACCCTCCCTCCCCAAGCCCCGCCCCTCCCCTGGCCCCGCCTCTGCAAGCCCTAGGTCCTCCAGTCCCACCTTCCCTCCGAGAACCCCGCCCTTCCCCTGGCCTCGCCCTGCGAGCCCCAGGTCATCCAGTCTCTCCCTCACTCCCCGAGCCCCGCCCCTCCCCTGGCCCCGCCCCTGTCCTGATCCCCTCCCCATCCGCGAGTCCACATCGGGGAGATCTGGTTCCAGCCTCCGCTCGGGGCAGCTGGTCCTATCGAGAGCAAACCCTAGCTTAGCAGTTAAGGCTCTGCCCTGCATGACTCCAGCCTCGCTCGCCCCAGCTGCTGCCCTGCTCTTCAGCTCAACAGAACTCTTGTCCGCTTCCGGAAAACAGACACTTTCTCCCCAGGAGCTGCTTCCTGAGCTTCAGAAGAATACCCAGTCGCGTCCTTTCTCCCTGCATACCACGCTGCTCCGTCCAGCTATGACACTTCCACTTGTGTTTCAGAGAACGGAACAGTTACGCCTGTTTGGAAGGCTTCAATTAATGAGAATTAATATTCTAAAAAATATAACTCACCTGTTTCACATGCCGGTAGTAAAATGACGTTGACAAACTGCTCAACCTTGGACAAGTTACTTAAACTTTCTATACCTCAGCTTCCTTCTCTGTATAATGTTGATGATAATAGTTCCTACTTCCCAAAATTAATATGAGAATGGAATGAATTAATATTTGTGAAGCACCTAGAATAATGCCTGGCATACAGAGATTATGTGTGTGTGGAAAGAGAGAAAAGGGAGGAAAGAAGAGGAAAGGAAGGGAGGGGGATAAAGGAAAGGAAAGGAAAGAAAAAAGAGAAATAGGAAAGGAGAGAGAGGGAGAAAGAAAAGGAGGAAGGCAGGAAAGAAGGGAAAGGCAGACTATCTTAGGGTGGGTTCAAGGTGTTAATCTAATCACTCATGTGCAGTCAGCTGCAGTTTTTTGAGACCACGCCACAGCCAGGACACTTGGAACACACCGGAGAGTGTGCTGTTGTGTTATTGTTAGTGTGAATGATTCAGGTACACTTTTAAACAGCCAGGAGGCCGGCTGAAATCTAGAAAAGTAGACGATAGTCTGGGCAAGGGTTCCCTGAAGATTCTTGAGGAATGTGACACAGTGACTGCTGAGTTAGGGAGGCTGCTCTGCATTTCAGCTTAGGGAGAAGAGGCTGGAAGATGGCAGGATAATGTGAGCTAAGTGGGCCTGAAACCAGAAGGCTTGAGAGGAGCAAGTACGGCAAGCAGGGCCCGCTGTTGAGCCCCCCTTCCTAGCCCCTGAGATCACTCTGGTGCCTGTCCACCAGGCATGACCAGTGATCATCACCTAGTAAGGAGCACAGTCTGGGCACAGCCTCTTGGCTCTCATCTCCTGCCCTGAGTGGCTCTGCCAAGGACTGGCTTCAGTTCTTTTAAGTCAGCCCTGGGGAAGGAATGAAGGTGGTCTGACTTGTTCTGGTAGGTTCCTGAAAGAGGAAAAGAAGAGGGGAGTATCCCAACTTGGTGGCCTTATAAAGAGGCATTCCAGGCAGCACTTGATATTTGCCTAATTTAAGCTGCTCCTCAGCTGCAAGGCAATGAATTATTTTCACGTTCTGTAGTTGCCCTGCCCCTTCCCATTAAAACCACGAGCTTTCTTATTCCATGTACAACTCTGTCAATACCTAGCAAAACACCTGGCACAGAATAGGTGCTCCATATTATATAAGTCATTAATATAAAACTTGACCAAAAGGAAATGAATAGCCAATAAGCCCATACTCTATGCCAGGCCATGGGGATACACCAGCAGCTCACATCTTTAATTCCTTTTTTATGGAGCATGTGTTGTGTGGGGGATGCTAGGCCATGAGCTTCTGCTGAATACACGCAAGTTAACAAAAGCCTAAATGATAAGACCCTTGGAGAGAGAAAACCAAAGTCTTTTAGGGAAAGGAGGTGGGGCAGATGTATCTGTGGAAAAGGATGTGGGGATGAGATGGCTGAGGAGGGAGTAAGATTTCGTAGTTTTAAAATAGACTTAACCAACCCACTAATTATACATAGTGTCTGAAAACGCCAAAGCTGTTCTCTATTTGGAAAACAGCATTTGAAATAACTTGCAAGTAAGTATACTATTTTTTTTCTTTCTCATTTTTTGGAAGAGAATGTGTTGGCCATGTACATCACAACACTTATTAAGAAAGAATTTTAAAAGAAAGATATTGCCCATAATCCCACCAATGTAGTCTTCATATTTTCATGGTTTTTTCATTCCATTTGTATGCACATGGCTTTTCCATCCTTATAAACTTTACATAGATGCAATTTTTCAGTCTTTCTCTATCTTATTCTCTTGAATATTTTTCCTTGAGGCCCAATAGGCTTCATTATGATCATTGTCATTGGCCAAGGAAGCCTCCGGGGTTCAAGCGATTCTCCTGCCTCAGCCTCCCGAGTAGCTGGGATTACAGGCATGCACCACCATGTCTGTTTAATTTTGTATTTTTAGTAGAGACAGGGTTTCTCCATGTTGGACAGGCTGGTTTCGAACTCCCAACCTCAGGTGATCTGTCTGCCTCGGCCTCCCAAAGTGCTGGAATTACAGGCGTGAGCCACTGCACCTGGCCATATCTTTTCATTTATTTCTGTTTACTTCAATTTCTTTCATTGATGTTTTCTAGTTACCAGTGTACAGGTCCTTCACCTCCTTGGTTAAATTTATTCCCAAGTGTTTGTTTGGTTAGGGGTTTTTTGGTAGCTATTGTAAGTGAGATTGTTTTCTTAATTTCCAAAAATCCCTTCTGCTGCTTCTATTCATTCCCTGGACCACTGGCAGCCACTTATCTCTTTACTGTCTCTGTAGTCTTGACTTGTCCAGAATGTCATATAATTGGAGTCATATAGTATGTAGCTTTTTAGATTGGGTTCTTTCACTTAGCAATATGCATTAAGTTTCTTCTATGTCTTTTCCTGCCCTGAAAGTTCCTTTCTATTATTGTTGAATGCTGTTTCACCATATAAATGTTCCATAGTTAGTTTGTTCACCTACTGAAGGATATCTTGGTTGCTTCCAATTTTTGGCAATTAAGAATAAAGCTGCTAAAATGTCAGTGTGCAAGTTTTTCTGTGGATGCTTTTGTTTTTTAACCAAGTGTACTTTATTAAATCATTTAAAAAAAAATTTTTTTTTTTATGTTGCCTCACTATGTTGCCCAGACCAAACTCAAACTCCTGGCCTCAAGTGACTCTCTTGCCTCAGCCTCCTGAGTAGCTGAGGCAGCAGGCCTTTTTTTTTTTTTTTTTAATTGCTCTCAGTGTATCTTCTTTGATGAGATATCTGTTCAGATATTTTGCCCATTTTTAGGTTGGATTGTTTTCATACAATTAAGCTTTAAGAGTTTTTTGTATATGTTAAATGAAAGCCCTTTATATGTTTTGCTAATTTTTTCCAAGTCTGTGGCTTATCTTTTAATTTTTTTAACAGCAGCTTCTGCAGAGCAGTTTTTAACTTTAACAGAGTTCAAGTCATCAATTATTTTTCTTTCACAAGTTATGCTTTTAGTGTTTTACTTAAAAAATCGAAACCAAACCCAAGGTTGCCTTGAATTTCTTATATTCTAAGTTTTACGTTTTTGTGTTTTACATTTAGGTCTATGATAAATTTTGAGTTAACTTTTGTGAAAGGTTCAAGGTATCTAGATCCACTTTTTTTTGCATGGAAATGTACAGCTGATCACTACTGCTTGAAAAAGTATTCCTATGAAAAAGACTTTCTCCATGAATTGTCTTCTCTCCTTTGTCAAAGATCAGTTAACTATGATTGTGTTGGTTTATTTCTGGGCTCTCTGATATATTCTGCAAATAGTAGTCTTCATTATGGGAGCTTTATAGTAGGTGTTTAAGTTGGGTGGCATCAGCCTTTTACTTTGTTCTTCAATATTGCATTGGCCATTTTGAGCCTTTGCCCCTCCACATAAACTTTAGAATTACTTTGTTGCTATCCACAAAATAATGTGCTAGGATTTTGACTGAAATCACATTGAACTTACGGACTAACGTGGGAAGAACTGACAATATTGAGTCTTCCTAGCACTGAAATGAAATAGCTATTTATTGAAATTATCTTTGATTTCCTTGATTAGTTTTGTCATCTTCTTCACGTAGATCTTGTCATATTTTATTAGATTTATACCTAAGCATTCCCTCTTACTGGTGCTAATGTGAATGGTGTTTTTTGTTTGTTTGTTTGCTTGTTGTTTGTTTTGCGAGACGGAGTCTCATTCTGTTGCCAGGCTGGTGTGCAGTGGCGCAATCTCGGCTCACTGCAACCTCCACCTCCTGGATTCAAGTGATTCTCCTGCCACAGCCTCCCAAGTAGCTGGGATTACAGGCGCGTGCCACCACGCCCAGCTGATTTTTTGTATTTTTAGTGGAGACAGAGTTTCACCATCTTGGCCAGGATGATCTTGATCTCTTGATCTCGTGATCTGCCCGCCTCAGCCTCCCAAAATACTGGGATTACAGGCGTGAGTCAGTGCACCTGGCGTGAATGGTGTTTTTAATTTTAAATTCAAATTTTTTCATTGCTGGTATATAGCAAAGCAATTGGCTTTTGTATTATATATTAACCTTTTTTTTTGTATTAAACTTTTATCCTACAATCTTACTATAATTGCTTATAAGTTTCAAGAGTCTTTATGTAGATACTTTGATTTCATTCCAGATGTTAACATCTTTCATTGGTTACATTCTGTCTCCCATCTCCACATTCTGACTTTCCATTCTACTGGCCTTCTGAATTAATCTTGATGCTTATGTGTTAATAAAAAGAAGGAAAAATGGCCAGGAAGCCAG